GGTAGCAGAAATATAAATACCTATGTATAGTTAATGTTTTTGTGTGTTTTGGGGGTATTTTTGGGTATTTTTGGGGTATTTTTGGGTAAATCGTGCTGCTGCTCTACCACTGGGTCGAGGGTTCAAGGCCCTACATGCCCGGGACTGAACATTGCCTTGTACTGTCTGTAGGTTGAAGGTTTCTCTACAGGCGCTCTGGTTAACATCCACCACCAAAACCTGGCACTTCCTTAAATGGCCATAGCTGTTAGTAGGACGTTAAAAAATCTCAAACACATTGTGGAATGTTATGATGAAACCTTCCAAAGAGTTCTAAGCCTATAAATTAAAGATAATTTCTTGTCTCTGTCTGACAATGTCCCTTCCAATGCTTAATCGCAGGAGTTTTACGTCTGTACAAAAATAAACAAAACCGAATCAACTTCTGTGATTTAATACCGCTGTGGCTATCTCAATGGAACAGTTGCCAGACCTACCATCAGTTCACTATCAGGTTGGGGAAAACCACCAACTTGCGTATAATACGCAAACTCGCCTTTTATACGCCAGTTGCAGTATGGATTTGTTACTAAAAATAACCCAAATCGCTTTAAGAGTAACTTTTGCAAGATATTATTAAAAATCGCATTAATTTACGACAAGGTAAATTATATTTTGCTACAAGATGTTTACTGAAAGCATTGCTTAGAAACTTGATGTAACTTTACCGGAAATATTGCATCTATTTTTGGTACTTTCCCACAGGCAAATAAAGTTTATTTTTGCATTTGTATTATGTTTCATGACTGAATAAATGCGACTTTGACAAACAATTTGAAAAAGTTTAGATTAAAGTGATTTTGGCTATTTTTAGTAGCAAATCCATACCCCTTTTGGCCTATAATAGGCGAGTTTGCGTATTATACGCAAGTTAGTGGTTTTCCCCGACCTGGCTGGAAATACGGAGTGATGTCGATGTTGCTGTGAGCTGTTATGCAATCAATCAGTGATATTTTCAGTTCAGCTGTTTGTCAGATTGTCCTGGCTTTCTCTCACTCTGACAACTGCGGCTACAACATCATTCATCCAATTCCCGATACATGTATTGTACTTTAGGGAAGAGAATTAGATTATTAAAAAAGACTCGATACGATATTTTTTATCTGCTTCCGAGTTCCCAGTAACCCTATCAAATTTTGACAGAGAATTAAAAAAATATCAAAATGTAATTACCGTTCTTTTGAAAACTCCATTCTTGACTTGTGGACACCCCTAACACCATGTACATCTAGTTAAGAAGCTGATAACATTTCTGTATGGCGAAAGACTTTGGACTGTTGGACGAGGAACTCTTGTTATGGGCGCCGCCATTGTTGTTGATACTTAGGTCATTTCTAAATCCGGATATTGACTCTGTACCTCAAATCCGGTATTTATGTCGTGGGTTTATTTTTGAATGCAATCTCTAAAATGCAGTTGAATGTTAAGTTAAAATCTGTGAGTAAACATAAAAATAGTTTTAACGAAAGAAAAAAAAGGTTTTTTTTAGCTAACTTGAAAGCTCCAAGACCCCAGATTTTAATTTTCCTTAATTATAACCAACTTAATTTATATGTAATTTGAATGTATTGTCAGACGTAGTATTGTTTAAATTTATACTTAAGTCATTGATGCAATGGACATGGCTTAATCGAAAGAAAATCGTCAGAATGAATTACTAATTATGTGGTTATATTCCAACCCCTTATATAGTACTTTCATACCAACTTTAACCATATTAGTTATGCCACCATATTTTATCGCCACGTGGTTTGGCTTTATTTTGTTTAACGTCCTATCGTGTGTTGTGTATGCGTGCTAGGGTGTGTGTGTGTGTGTGTGTGTGTGCTGGGTTTACAGAAGGCAGGGTGTGTTGGTGTATCGCCTCCTTGTGATAGCGCGTAACTGATGCCTACTTGTTAGTGCTATCTCACTGAAATATCATGCCAAAGGCACCCATCACAGCATTCCACCCGATCACATTATACTGACAACGGGTTACCAGTTGTTGCTATTCCCCTAAATGCTGCATGTGAAGCAGGGAATAACAACTACCATTTTTAAGGACTTTGGTATGTCCCGGCCTGGGGGCAGAACCCAGGCTGCCTTCCTCATCTGGGCGAACGTTCAATATTAAAGCCAAAAATGAATCGTTGCTAAGCAAGGTGCTAGGAAATAAAAGGTAGTTAGAAGTAGAAATATATAGATACCAAATATTGCAATGGGTTCATCAGATTTATTTCGGTCGCTTTTGTGTCCCAAGTAGAGGGCATAAAAGGAAATCCACAATTCTGCCGGGGGTTCCCTCATTAGTCGCCTCTTACGATGCATATATAACATATACTGCCTTACTGGCAAGCTAGCTTTTCCAGTGATGCGGTATAACCCGGCGAACTAGTTTAGCAACGTCGAGCGTGGTCAGTTGCTTTTAACTGTGGTCTTAGTGACTGGCATCATATGATTGGGACTGTTTTTAAAGGGAAATGTAAACCAGTTGTGAAAGAAAAGAGGAAATTTAGATGTTTTAAATATTTTGATGAAAAAACTTTCAGTGATGATATAAGTAAAATCCCTTTCCATGCAACTTATGCTTTTGATGGTATTTATTGGGCCCATGAAAAACTTATCACTGATATTATTGATGAACATCCTCTTGTAAAAGAAAAAGTTGTAAAGCAAAAAAAGTGTCCATTTTTTAATTCAAACTTGCGTAAAGCTTTGTATAAGACACGTATGCTTTTTAACAAATATATTGGTTGCAAATCAGCCTCTAATTGGGAGGCATTTCGTAACCATAGAAATTATGTGTCTAAAGGCCCACCATTAAACCATTTTTATCAAATAAGGGCTCTGCACAATGCAATATGTAATTTTAAAGGAAAAATGGCGAAAATGAGGCCATCATCAGTGACCAAAAAGTGGTCAGCAATGTTTTTATTATTTTTAACGTAAATGTTGCTTCTAATATTTGCGGAAGTCCTGGAGGGACATTTTTAGTTACCACTTATTTATTATTACTTTTTTGTTATTCCTTATTTGTTATTATTTAGTTGAACTTTGATTCATTTTTAAACTTTGAAGCTCATTTTTTCTGAAATTTGTAGGAAAGCCTCAATGCAATTGTCCATTTTAAAGCAAATTGGGAGTATTTTTGAACCAAACAAGGTAGACTTGTAATTCATAATTCTTTTATTGTTTCAAATTTTAACTACTGTTCTTTAGTCTGGCACTCTTGTTCCATGAAGAGTGTCAGAAAGCTAGAAAAGATACAAGAAAGAGCTTTAGATTTATGCAAAATGATCACAACTCATCATTCAGACACTTACTCAGTATTACCAACAGCGACAGGCTTCATGTAAGGCATCTAATGGATATCGGTTGTGAGGTTTTTTAGAATTATAAACAAAATGTCTCCTGAAAATAATTATTCATAACCTTGTAAATATTAAGATGTCTAATTATGACTACATGAAAGAAAACACTGCAGAGGTGTCCAGGGTCAACACTGAAGTATGGGCATAAATCGTTTTCTTTTGAGGCCGCCCGGTTGTGGCAGTCTTCCGAAAAGTTGAAAATTTCAAAGAATTCAGGAGGCTGATCCATTCCTGGGATGGCCCCATCTGCCTTTGCAATATCTGCAAAATGCGATACTTCATACTGTGCCCCGATTACCTCTGCCACCTGACATTTTGAATTGTGTGATACTTTTATTATCTTATTTGATTTCGTATATGTTTTAATTCTATTCTATATTTTTGCAGCATCTTATTTGTATTTTAATGTTACATATTCTAAAATATATTTTTTTACAAAACTTGATACATTTTGTTAATTGATTTCGGTATCGTTTTTTAATTCAATTCTTTGCTATATTAGCATTGTATGTATATTCCACTTCATAGTGTTTTAATCCTAAGTCCTAAGTAATTCTTGTGTGATATACAAGTATTCATTCACTATTAACTATGTCTTTTATTTACTTATTCTGAATACTACTTATCTGTGATCACATTTAATGCTTTTCACATAATAACACTATTTTTATATATCTATTGTTTCAATGGGGTCATATCCCGGGGGTCTTTGTAGGTAGGGGACTCTCAATCACCTAGGAACCTGGGATATGATACTTTCTTTTTCTGCGATAATTTTTACTGCTTTTTATTTACATATATATGTGATTATCTCCCTTTACTCGTAATATAATGTGTTATTGTTATTTTACATATGTTTGTCGTAATAATAGCTCTCACGATTTTATGTTCCTTGTTTACCTGTATGCGACGTTTAAAAAGGTGTCTTGTGTCTTGTATTCTTGTTGTATGGTGGTCTTTTAGTCCCGGAGGTTTGTAGCCTCAACGGCCACAGTTATATCTCTAGAAATATGAGTAGCGACATGGTTCCTAGCAATTAACCAGTGCTCCTCTAACTTTGAAATTAATAAATGAAGGGGTTTTATCACGGAATTATGCTATCTTAGTCCGTGGTTTTATGAATATCACCTTCTGTTTCAACTGTAGTTTAGACAAATGTGGGTTGGCCCCTACCATCCCCGATGAGTCCTAGAAGGACGAAACAGTTGTATGATGCAGTGTAATTCATTTTTGGCCTACTGTATATCACCCATTGCTTATGGTGTGATCACCAGTGTAAGTGTTACGCTCGTCTTGTAATGGCGATGAAAATGTATAACAGTATTAAGATGTATGTCAATCCTTAAATACAAAAACATGAAGCACAACGTATCAACTATTCCGTCTTTGCGTATTGCAGAGTTATCTTCTCTTTGGAGCAGGTATTGATTGTTACGTCACTTGTTTGTGAGAGTAACGTCATCAATTTTTGAGAAAACGACGTAATTTTCCGCACAAACCAATGACGTAACAATCACTACCTGCTCCCAAGAGAAGATAACTCTGCAATACTCACAGACGGAATACATTGATAATGACAGTTACAACTAATCCACACACACCTCGTCTGGAGGCGATTATATTTATTCAGCATCAGTGTCTGATTTAACAATGTCAACAATACTAGTGTGGTGAGAGGAGTAATGCTGACATGTTTGGTAAGTACAATGCACATAATATGCGGACAAGATAATCATATGAATGATTAAGTTGAAATGCAATTTTTTAAACAAAAGTCATAAATTGTAACATGAAACTGTCTACAATGTTTCAATAACATCCATTGGAGTACAATTCACATCGACAATTATATCTTTTTTTCTGGTTTATATTAATCCGAACAAGAAGGTTAAACAAACCCTGAATAAGTTGTAAATTGTAAATATATAAAATGTTAACAATATACGCATGTTCGAGGTTAAATTCGGTAAGCAAGTATTTTGAGAATAAATAAAAGCTGTTGCCAGTTGAAGGCGCTTTATGTATAAGTAAGACATCATTTTCTGTCAGTAATTGGCCCTATCCACCATTTAAGACGAGAGGAAAAAACGACCAATGAAATAATGTAGTTTATAGAAAATATGGACAGCCTACAAAATCTATTATTGATGAAATTTTGAATGAAAAATATTCTTAAAACATATGAAATATTTCTTATGTTCCAGAAATCTGTTTTTGATTATCACAAAACAACATGAAAAGAAAATCCTATTTTTACTACTAAAATATTGAAACTGAAATAAAATTGAGCCGTTAAAATAATGTGGATAAAAAAGATCTAAAGCATCTTTTGGTACGCACAAGTCTTGAATAGATTGAAGACCATAACATCAATATACTTATTTATCAAACTGGATCTTGTTTGCGATTCCATCCATCTTATTTTTGTTATCAAAACAGTGCACAATATTGACGATATTTCTTAATGTATAGTAGCTGCTGTCTTTTAAACTGTTTGGAGGTCATTGAGCCATATTTAATAATAATTATTATATACTGACATTAAAGGTTTAACTGAACCTTAAAGTAAGATATTATAATTGAAAGATGTGATGAAAATAAACATGAAACAACATAAACGTATATACAAGTATCAGGTTTAACTGATTAGAACAAACAAAAAAGCGAAAAGGAATAAAAACTTTATGATTAAATATCAAAATATATGAAAAAAGACAAAAAAGCATATTGCAGAATATTGAATGAAGCTTTTAAGCGATAATGTTTTTATGCATTCAAATCACAGGTGACTGGACAATCAGGTTCATGTCAGTGGCCAATTAATCGTAAACTTAACGAGCAATCGTATATCATAGGTGTTTGTATGAGATATATTGTTAATTGAATTAAAAATGTTATTGGCTAATTACAATCTGCCAGATACAGGAATAAACTTTTTCACTTATATTCTTCGGTGACCCCTGTTCATTGATCAATTTTAGACAGATTTGCAGGTTATGAGAACTGAAATCTAGTGACTCATCTGATTTCGGCTCACACCGCGGCCAGCCGCCGTATACTATCTAGGCATATTCTTTGTGCTTGGAGACATAACACATACATAAAATAGAAACATACAGAACAATCAGGAAATAATTGAAGATAATTTAGAATGTATATACCCTTTATAGGAATTTCATTAAAACTGTGCCATTTAAGAAAAAAATGCATTTCTGTTATGATCGTATTTAACCAGCGAAATTGATATCTGTTTTGACAATAATATCATGTGGTTGTGATGATGAGAAATTTTCTGTTATCCATCAGTATTCACTGGTACTTGTGGTATATGAAGAAAAAATAGCAAAACTAGAGATCTGGGAACCCTATCTGCTTAACAATGAGTTTCGTCGTAACATGTCTTTGCTTCAGTGTTTTCATTGATATGCATTTCCCCTGCATAGATATCCCAAAATTGGTCAGATGTAGATGTTGTTGGTTCCATTTGCCTGTGGTATTGTACCAGCGGTACATCACAGCCTTCCATAGAAACCTGAATGGAAACTCCGCCATCGTTTCCAGTTTCTGAACGAAATTGTTCCGATGAGTTATCGCTGTGCGAGACTTCTTCGTTGATATCTGATGCACAATCTAACGGCTGTACTTTATCTGTGTCGATGACATTATTAGTCTGAAAATAAATAGCAATAAGTTAGATAAGAGTATGATTGTATGTTCGAAATTCATTCACCACTTGTTCACATATATTATCTTGTTTGTATAAAATTATGAACAAAATCGTTTATATTTTAAGTGTTTAGTAATGACATACTGATTTGAAATATGTCTATACGTAATAAGTAAGTATAAATAGGTTAAGGTATATTGTTATTGAATATTGCACTATTACTAGGCGTATTTATAACCTACTAAAACACATATCGATGTTTTTGCCTTTTAATTAAGATTTACCTGTCCGGAGTATATATGTTTTTGTCTTAAAATGTCAAATCGACTAGCAATTTTTAACCCCAAAAGTAATACTGTATTAAGACCTTACCTAAATAAGTGTTACAATATTTATCAGGTGTATACCTCAGTAGTATATATTCAAACATGCACTCCTTCAATTTCAGCAGATAATTGACGAAGGATTGAATATTGAACATTCTTCTTAACGTTTCGGGATGTTCTCGCATTAAATTGCCACACTAGAAACGTAAAACTTACCTTTAAACCAGAACTGTTAGATTTGATGATGAAACAGACACACACAAACACTAAGACGCTGACCGCCATTAAGATAGGTGCAACGATCAGAGAGACAGCAGTAGGCGATATGCAATGCTTCTTTGTCGTATCAAGGACGGTATTTTCGGGGCATTGGTTTACACATTGGTTATCATAAACAAGAAGATCGTTCGATTCATAGCATTTTGATTTCAGTATACAGGATGTATTATTGTATACCATTGACAAAGCCGTGCACTTTTTAACACACATAAAATTAAATATTTCGCTTCTGAATGGATGCGATGCCGGACATTGATGAACACAAGTGTTGTCTTCTGTATATAACATACTATCACAAACCATGACACATTTCAGTCCATCAGTAAATCTTGAAGCAGGACATTTTGTGTGGCATTCTGTATCCTTATTATTAAAGAGTTTTGTTTCTGTGAATTGGTGTGTTGCTGGGCACTTTTCAACACATTCTTTGTTAACAAAATAGCTATCACATGTGGTCACACATTCAAAGTTCTTAATAAATTGACTGTCTAGACACGCTTTTCTACAAATCTTTCCTTTAAGAGACTGTTCAAAAAAGCTGTACTCGGGTGGACAAGAGAATGAATTAATGCATATATTATTCACGATAGCGTTATGGTTAGAACAAGAGGGCACACAAGTTGCATTTTCCTGGACATAGCGATCTATGCATGTGCTTCCACAAATGTTTGCTTTTGGTAATGGTGAAGACAAGTTCACGTCTTTTGGACATGCTTTAGTGCACTCATTATTTACCAGAAAACGTGAATCTGATGGACACGTCTGAACACATGTGTTGTTTGATATGACATCCGGTTGTGTGCAATTAAAAAGGCATTTTCTCGTTTGTGGGTCCAGGAGTTTGTGTATGCCATCACATTTATGCACACATGTTTGACCGATTGAATACGGATTAGATTTAGGACACTTTGGTATGCATTGATCTTCAAAAACAAACCGCGGTTTAAAACACGACTCTTCGCAACGGAACAAATTCTTACGTTTTGGGTACGCATTGTACAAAAAGCGAAACTTGTGTGATGAGGGACATCGGTGTAAACATGAACGGTTTCCATAGAAAGATGCAAGTGGCTCTGGGCATTCAATGTAGCATTTATTATCCAACTTATATGTGTTATCTGGACACCGACTGACACAGTGTTGAAGCCAAGTCCCATCTGCCTCCTCGTTGTAAATAAACATGTAAGATACCGGGCAATGTGTGACACATGTAAAGTTGTGTGACAATATTGGACAGTGATCAACACATTGATCATCCAAAGAGAACTGTTGATATTCTTTGCAACTAGACACGCATCGGAAGCCAGTTGATGATCCTGCTTTGACAGTATAGTTAAATCTGTGTGTCATTGGACACTCATCGACACATGTTTCATTGAAGTAACTCGTAAGCAAAGGACAGGTGTCAACGCATGTCATATTAAATTCCAGTTTTCCCGATTGTTCTCCTGTATTCTTGCAAGTGTCAACGCAATATACTGGATTCTGTCCATTTCGTTGCGTCGATGTATCGACGAAATGCAACGCATGTGTCAATGGGCATACGTGGTGACATGTTTCATTGTATATATATGCTGCTTGTCTAGGACAGATAAACACACAAGAACCGTCAAAACTGTAATAATCATTCGGACAACTCGCAAAACACCTTCGCTGAAAATTAAACCTGCTAACATCAGGACACTTTTCAACACACGTGTTATTATATGTGAACAGATTGGATGGACAGGTGCTACGGCACGTCATATTATACAGAATAGTGCCTGGGCTTTTACCTCGCTCCTCACATGAATTGACACAGTAGTTCAAAACAGAAAAACGATACTTTCTTGCTGTTAATGGGTGTGTTTCCGGGCACGTGTTTCGGCATTGCTCGTCGAAAAGATATTTAGCTTCTTCCGGACAGCGAAGGAGACAGGAACCGTGAAAATTCACATACGGATAATTACACCGAGGGAAACATTCCCCACGGAATAGATAATGTTTAGAAGGGCATGCGTCAACACATTCGTCCTTTAACACTTTATATCCAGAGGGGCAACTTCCCATGCATGTCATATTGAACATATATCTAGCATTAATTGGACAACTTTGTAGGCAGGATGTATCGTTAAATATAAAGGAATTTGTTGGACAAGCCGAAACGCATATCTGTTGATAAGTATATTTATGTTTTTCTGGACATTCTTTAACGCAAGTCCGATTAAAGATGTTCATTTCCGTAATACATCTGTGAACACATACAGTGCCATCTGTATAAGTTTGGTCAGGGCAGTAGGGTAGACACACAGGAGTTTTGTACGGGGGCAACCGCCTCGACAGGACATAGACAAAGGGCACATAATCTGGGCATTTTTGAACACATGACATATTCCAAAGAAAACTCAATTCTCTAGGGCATTGAATCTGACATTTACTTTCGTTGATATTTGTAAACATTGGGCATCTGTCCAAACAAAGGCTTGTATTCCAAACAGTAAATTCGTACTTGTTTTTCGGCAGGCAGGAATCTATGCAAGTCGCACTGGTTCTATACTTGCCTTGGGGGCATGTTTTAGTGCATTCAGATTCTGAAAGAACATATCCTGTAGAACAATTTGCAACGCACTTATTAGCTTCGATGAAAGGATACTCTTTAGGGCAATCTTCTACACACGTGTTGTTGAAAATGTATGGGCTTAATTTTGAGCAGGTATAAACACAGGAAAAGTCTTCAATCACAGTTCCCAATGGACAAGTAGTGTGGCATTGGTAGTTAACGCAAAACGGCCTCACATTTGGACAAAACCCTTTCTGACAAAGCAAATTTGCTCCAGCATTTTGGCGTTCAGATGATGCAGTTGTTTGAACTGTTTTCGAACAAACCCCAAACTTCGTTGCTTCATAACCATTCGGACAAAAGGTTAGACACAAATTTTCGAATAAAAATGGTGCGAATTCCGGACATTTCCTCGTGCAATTTGAGGCGAACTCAATTTGGAAGTCATTCGATGGACATTCTACTATAGTTTGACCGTTGTAATGAAAAAACATGCTGTCTGCTGACTCATCCAGGTTTTGCTGTGGAAATTCAAAAAAACATGTGTTATTTTGAGTTAAAAAATGGTTTTTCGACTCATCAACAGTCAACAATTGAAATGTTGATGTCTAAAACGTTCGATCAGGGCATCTATGTGCTACGCAAATAGTGCTGAGGTATTGCGGAATACTGATATTCTTAAATGCATTTTCATACTTGATGTTTGGATAAACTTTGATCAATGTGTGCCTAAATGAAGTTGCTAGAGCGATGCCACTGAATTATTTTGACAAACAGTACTTGACCGTTGTGTACACATTCTGATTGAAATACGATACGAAGTGAAGTCGCGAGAGCTATGAAACTGAATATCGGAGACATCAAAATATAATCAATCGCCACTACATAAGGTAATTTTCTGATCTCAAACTCGATGCAAAAAGGAACCTGTTAGATTTTGGGATACAACTTTCTCCCAACACCTGTAATTATATTAAGGCGAATGGCTAGGGAGACACTGTCGAACACATGTTGATTTGCAGGGACCCAGGTCAATCACCTATTATGATAGCATACAGTGGAATGCAATAAGCCTATTCTTTCTTCGAACCTGCACAGGCTGTCAGAAAAGGAAAAGAAATCTAGACAAACAGAAAAATACCATGAGCCCTCAATAACACCGAATTGTCCTTCTGTATTACAGTCTTTCCGAAAAGAGATAAATAATAAGGATATGGGCTTACTTCGTTTATATTTGTTTCCAAACTTCGAAAGGATTGCCAGTTCTACTAGTTGCTGAACCAAGCTTTTTTCAAAATTTACTGCCATTTTTTGTACAAACACTCAGGGTTACAGACTATTTGTTACACTGTATAATAAAGAAGTGGATGAGTGTGAAGAGATTTAACGTTTGTTTCATTAATAATTAAAAAACAGGAGAATAACAAATGACAAAAAAAACTATAAATCGAAATCGAAATTGATAAAACTAAGGGATAATATGAACAAAGAACAAATTTACACTGCAGACAATGAAAAGTACAAGGAAAAGGAAACCTGGTGTTCATTAAAGATATTTGTCTTTTGCTTCATTGATGACACCCGCTTTGTAAATCTACGTCAGGAACAACTAATGGCATGTCCTCAAATTAAAAAATCGGGTAGTGAAAACAAAATGCAATATAATCAAAAGCATCGACATTCATCGAGCTTGCTCTGAATATCAAAACTTCCGTGATTGATGTCGACTGCTGCAAACGAACAATACAGGGTTTTAAAAGATGCAGGTTGAAGAAGACTATGAGCATGTTTTATGTTCATCATTGTTGATTTCTACGAGAGTATTTCTTTGGATGCTCTGAAGGTCGACGTTTCTGATTCTTTCCTTATAGATAAGTAAAATCTTTGTATTCCTCGTATTTATTATGCTAACTAGAGTACTTTAGAGTGTTTTTTTCATTGTGAATTACCCGGTTCTCGCTTAGAAGAGTAACTTAAGTTAAATTTGGCATAGATTTACATGACGAGTGTCGTCGATGAAGCAGAGGACGCTTACCCTTCCGGAACACCTGATCTTAATCTCCTTTGACACTTCAACATTCTCTTGTTGGTTTATTGGTAAAAGTTTCAGCAACTCCTGATATTGATCCAATACCTAATATCATCATCTCATGTTCTCAAATAAATATAATAGCTGTATTTATACTACTAAACGGACTGTTTTAAATAGATTATTGTCTGTTTTATAGATAGATTTTACAAAATTTTTGTTCATGATCTCCATATGGTTATCTTGGCAGGTAGCAGTAAACCTATAAGAGTTTTCTATCATTACGGGAAACGAAAGTGCGGATCGTTTTACACAGGACGACGCTTGAGTCAACTTTTCACGACCTACTGTGTGGGGAATGCATGTGCCATTGTCTGTGACGTTACATTCAAATCAGGTGACACTTTCGAAAAGGTGCCGTTAGAAGCATTGTCGCATCGTAATATAGATCACAAATTTGTCTTTAGCATACCCGCGTATATGTAGAGGTATTAAGCACGGTGGCATATTACTAGTAGTAAGTTAAGACAGTTTCTGCCAAATCCTCAGATGGTATTCATTTTAGGAATGGTATTATTTTGTATTGTATAACGCCCTCGATTGGCTTGTTATAGCCGGAAAGTGCGCTATATCGGATGTCGTGTTATATAGGTTTCCTTATTGACTATTTATAATGAAAAGTTCCTTGACGTTTCGATGACAAGTACGATATGTACACTGTCACCTTCATCAGGTAAATGACCAGTGAAGCGTATGCAGTGTAAAATATGAACGAGTTGTCGACAAAATCGAAGTCGATTTCGGCTACGCTGTAAGCGTATGTACACTAGTTGTTATATATGTATCAAAATGACTCGATCCAGCTACGCTTATACTTACCAATCTGAAGAAAATGTTTAGAAATATCCTTATTGACTAGTCTGTACAAATACAGTGGTATGAATTAAAACAGAAAAAAATATTTATATATATATATATACATACAAGTGCGTCACTTCAGTATCCATGGACAAAAATCAAACTCGCAGTCGTGTCATGATTCAAAACCCTTATGCGCAAATATATATGTGTATACACGGAACAATTCAAAACCTTTAAATAAAACCGATCACATGCCTCATTGAAATGCAGCGGTGCAGCTGTATTGTCTTCAACAATACGTTGTCGGTCGTCACAACACACAAGAGTGAGCCCACTTCATAAATATACACATTATAGCAGCTTTTCAGAATGTGTGACGGAAGTATTGTTACAATTAAAGGAATAGTGGCTGGATGACACATTCAAAGGTAAGCACGTTGCCGCATATTAATAATTCACAATAGATAAACAACCGCTACTATGTGTATTTATTTTGAATAAATCAATCATATACACATATCAATATTTATTACTTGTATAAATAATGTTTATATTCCAAAGAAACAAATGGTATCTGTTATAATTGACTTCTTACCTGTGTAACTAGGAACGAAGCTATAAAAACAAACACACAGAGCTGATGTCTATCCATGATCATAACTGTTCGTCATATAGCATACGGTGTTGAATAGCACATTGCAAAACTTCCTGTTTCTAAATATATCGCTTTGTCCATGCAGTCACGCACCCAAGGTTGCTTAGCTTCCTTTGTATATTATAATCAATTTACGAATCGAATAGGGGATCTTTTAAAACGACATCTCAAACTCAAGTTTTCGCTAGATTGTAGGTTGAGTATAAGAAAAATAACTTATCGACAATGTTTTGTTCAACAGTTCTCCATACTATGCAGGGGAGATAAGAAGAGATTTTATTCTCGACACTTACCCAAGATTTTGCCGTGGCTCAGGCACTCTGAGATTTCTCTGTTACTGCCTCAAGGTAGGTGGCAATTATGTTTCTCCCATCTATTAGTCACACAACTCCATGGACAGTAGCTTTAAAAAAGCATGACAGAATATAAATAATAAAAACTAATACACATTTATTAATTCATCACTTGCAAAATAACGAATAAATCAATATTGGATCTACACAGGCATTCCTACAGTAACCATTTGTTTAGCTAACAGATTTCCCTGTCTAATTTTCAGCTTATTTTGATATTATAAAGAGGTTTGTCGACAAATGAAAGAGTTAATAGCACAAGAGGCCTAGGGGACTTAACGTTTACCTCAGTGAGATTGACAAAGCAAAACTCGTGAGAGCGATACATCAGGTTGTAATCTTTTGTAAAGCTAAACCACACAGACAAATTAATTCTTCATACGACACACAGATAGTTCACTTAAACGAAAAATACACTAGAAAAAGTATATAAAACTACAAAGTTATGAGGTTTTAACATATTTCAAAATACACGTGTATCAGCACGGTAGGATATATCACGTTGGTTTCCCTTTCGGTATTAAAAGATTCGTGTGACTATTGCTACTACTACTGTCATCGAGAAATTAACTTCGTTTCCATGAACTTGATAAAACAAACACCATTGTAGCATAAGCTGAATGTTAAACCAATATGAAAAAGCATAGTCGCTTGTACATACAAGCGGTCGAAAGTATGAACGGGATGGCAACATAAACAAAGTAGCGTAATATCGACGTTAAAAGAAAGCATAAATGAATAAAATAGTTGTTTGTAAAATGTTTGAAACCTCTAACTCATAATATTTGGCTGAAATTGTGTGTCTGTTCAAAACATGGAGCTGCTATTTTACCTTGACTTCCGGAAGCGATGACATTGCTGAATGCAATTGATTAAATTGAGAAGGTGTGTTTTGAAGATTTTGCACACAGTTCCCCCTTATGGCCCCAATCCTCAGGCACCTAAGGCGTCAGCCCCTTCTCGAGTATAAATTCTGATCTTCATCATCTAAGGATCATTTCATGAAATGTTGCTCAAAATGCACTGGTAAGTTTCAGAGATGTTTTTTGAAGATTCTGCACTCAATGACCCTGTATAGCCCCACAACTCAGCCCCCAGTGGTGTCAGCCCTATCTTGAGTACACCTTTATTTCGTCAGAAATTGAAAGGCAAACAATTGGTAACCTCACAATATATTGCATGTTGTTCTTTGGTCTGGTTGAAGCATTATACGTGTCACTAAGAGAAAAGAAAAACTGCTGTGTTAACCAGGAATTGATTTTTGGATCATTGTTAGTAATCATAAACAAAAGAGAAAGAAAAGAGAAAAGAATAGGAAAGAAAAAACATATACATCTATCTGTCCCTGCTGGTCGTCGAGCCTTTTACCTTTATATTTCGAGTTACATGTCGTGTTTAGTACCCAATATTCGACAATAAATGAGCGCTTTAAGGTTTTCATTGACACTATTCTAGCACAGGAAGTCGTGATTCCTTGTCATCTCTGTCTTCCCACAAGATAATATAGTAAACAAACAAAAACAAATAGCGATATATAATACAAATTGTCATATGCCGCTTCAAACCACAAAATACATAAAACTCAGTAACAACCGTACTAACGGCTTCTTCTTACTCTGTACTACCCCGAATACTGCTCCGAACTGGCCTGATCCTCTTATGAGATCATACCGCAGCTTTAAAGTGAAACTTTATAGTTTCACCTTGCTTTAAGCTCGCAGATAGAGTAATAAAAGTACACACTATGTATTATTTTAACATGATTTCAGATAGTTTATTGGATATGGCTATATAAACGACAGATTTTTTTTAATAAACTGGCGAATTGGTCCATTTGAGTGACAAAAATTCACTTGATCATCAAAAAATATCAGCAATTTTTTGTTTAATATTATGATACTGTAGTAAACAATATTCTTCTACATACATTTCTGGTGAGTTTTTTAACCGCTATGTCAGACAAAAATAAGATTTTACTACAGAAAACATTTCAGCTGACTTTGATCCACACCATCCGGATTACTGCGTGCCGCTTGTATCGGGGTACCGAAACAAATTCTTCGTCAGTCAATCATTTAATTTTTAATGTCTAGAGTGAATATCATTCGAACCTATAGATGGGTTGTGTTTGGAATCATCGATGGGTTTTTTCAAGATGGACATAAGTTATAGATGTTGAAAGACAATGGTTAAGTTGCCATATAAAATCAAATACATCATCTTAAGTTAATTAAAACATAAGGCAAATTTACATCAGAATACCAGTTTTATAAACAAAATACAATGCAACTCAATTAGTAATCTCTTGTTCTAAAGGTAATAACTTGTATAAGGAATATGCTTGAGGAAGCGGTACCACTCCTTGCCGATGAAAATGAGGCCACAGAACACAGGGATTCCATAGACGAGATTCAGAGCAGATACTTGTCAGCTGATAACGAATATCATGTCTTCATATCATACAGCTCAAACGACGCTGATTTCGTCGAACAACTAAGAAGACATCTTGAAGAAGACCTGAAATTTAAGTAAGAATTTTTAGGACAAATGCAAAATAATATTCACAAAGGCTGAGCTTTTATTTTCTAATTTAGAACATCAAATACCAAACTTCTTATTTTTGACATACCGGTATGAAAGAAATCTTTTAATATGAAAAATATAAATATTCCTTATAGTTACTTTTCTGGCCACGGAATTGCATGCTAGTTAAAGATAACTTTAACATGAGAATGTGATAACTAACAGTAAATAACGTATCAATACAACTGGCAGAAGAATGAGACTGATGATGGGTGTATTATAATATGAATGAAAAATAGAAGTAATCTAAATAGCGAGATTTAATCATGTAATATAATACTGTAATGAGAAAATGAAGTATAATTTATTATTATGATGACAAGTGTGATTATTTCTAACTGTCATTTTTAAGAATATGGTCACATTGTATATCACCTATGTCTGCGTTTTGTTCGTCATGCAATAGGTCCATGCTGGATGCACACTTTACACCGGGCAAATCAGTTATAGACAATATGTCCAACTCGTACGACAAATGTGAAAAAGTGCTCTTCGTCGTGTCAGAACATTTCTTGGGTAGTGGATTCTGTGAGGAGGAGGTGAATCTTGCATACCAATATGCAATGGAGAAAAAACGGAGGGATTACATAGTTGTACTGAAAATAGATGAAAGCCAACTAGACAGAAAACTTCGCACATATACATACATCGATGGAGTCGACCGCGATATTGACAAAATCGGGAGGAAATTTCAAATGGCATATGCTAGATGCGGTAAGCTTTTGTGAAAGATATAGAACTACCTGTGATGTGTTTTAAATTTTAAAGCATCTTCTACCTTAATTGATAGTATCATTTTAACAAAATTCTTTTATTACTTCATTACTGATGTCAATACTCAATATTTTAGGTTCAGCTGCTGTTGACGAAGAGAATAGTAATGGAACCACAATACTGGTTAAATATCCAGTGGAAGAGTCGCCCAACCTGTTTGGGGGGATGAACTATGTGTTCCCTGACCTTTCTGAGGATGAAATGGAAAAGCTAAGATCTTCTGACATAGAGGTAGGTAGATCTTCTAACATTTTCGTGAGACAATTATCTACATTATTCAAAGGCGCATTTCTATCAATTGATAATTATTAAGAGTATTTATAACTGCCCTTTATTCGATCTGAAATTGATAAAACTATGGCAACTATGACAAATAGATTTCATGAATGAAGTTCTTTCATAAGAAGAAGTTTAAAACTTGGGAAGCGTTTTCTGATTCATCGACGACATTCATCGTGTATACTTAGTTCAAATTCAAGACAAACAGCACCTCCAAAGTCTAAATGGTAAAAAGACATCGAAACCATAAAGCACACAAATGAGCATAACCAAAATCGTTATTAACTAATTGCAAAATATTTATAAACGTATACACAATTACATGTACATATATACAGGTGTCTATGCATAACTTGATACGAAAAAGCAAAGTTTGGAAAAAAAAACCCGTAGCTTTTGTTAATCTGTGATATTTTAAGGATTCGGAATTTTTGAATTGTAGATGATTGATATTCACAAAATAAGTTTACAACAGCATAACAAAACATAACAAAAACAATTACACGTTTAAAGAAATTTACATTTTATTTTTTTGGTGTCTACGAAGCATTCAGCGACTTGCTACAAAGCTATTCAAACAGAAATCAACCGGACTAGGCTACTAAATCGATACTCAATGGTTGATGGATGTACAGTGATGAAAAAACGGTGTGTTTTTTGTGGAATGTTCACGGGATGTTTAGCGTTTCTATGTTCCATTTTGGCCATCACGTATTGGGCAAACGGTTTTCTCAGAAGCCACTGGTTCTGGTTCGCGGGTGTGGTTGTGGTATTAGTTTTATCCTTGTCTTGCTCTGCTGGAATCGCCATAATATGGACCCAAAGGATTCTGAAAAAGGTTAGTTACATAATTACAAATCAAAGTAGGGGTGCTAAATCAACACTGAAGTTCAGTTACCTTGTTATGGTCAACATATAAGACCAATAACGCTTGTGTGTAGAGAGCACCGCTTAAATTATATTCACCTAATAAGAACATGGAATGCGTCTGTTGATATAAAGACAGCAGATACAGTTAAGTACAAAACTTACGACCCTAGTGTTGAATGTTATAAGAAATGCGTTGACTTTCATATGGCAGTATACATGCAGTAAAACCGTTTATAACATTGTTCGGGTAATTGAGTGGTATCTGAAACATTTGTTATGTCAAATATATTTATAGTCGCCACACAGTGGAAACTGTAATATTATTATACTGTACCAACTTTATTTTTCAGATATGCGACGGGTTGAGATCCATTGCCAATACCAACATGAACTTGAAAAGTAACAAATACATCCTTTTGTCAAGGAAGGATTTTAACGGTTTCCATGTATCCTCAATCACAAAGATTTTTCCAACTCAATAAGGATGAGTGTCTACGAGGCCCTTTTTGGGCCCCGGTATATCCAGATTTTCACCTCCTTTATTTGATCAAAGGTGTCCTATTGTATCACATGTGCAAAAACTAAGGCGAAAGTGGGTTTTTTGGGGTACCAAAAAGGGGAAGAATAAATCACAAATATAAATTGCTGTTTTCAAAATGAGCTAAAACAACCAAAACAATACCATTTCTGTTTTTGAAAACACATGTAAATTAAATCCGGATATACCAGGGCCCAAAAAAAGGGCCTTATAGTCACTCATTCAAAATTGAAAACACATATCATTTTATAATTCACGAAGAATCATGGGATTCAGAATTGGTCCAAATGTCATACAGCAATGTAAGCATCCGTCTAAAAACCTTGAATCTAAACCTATAAAGTTATACATTATAATCAAAGGATTCCTCATAGTTAAAATAGTACGATTCTTGACATGTTAAACAGCTGATGTTTATTTACTACGACATCGCCCCTTGCTGGGTAAGTAAATACCTTTATTATGTAACATGTGATATTCCAAAATGTTTCCCTAAAATGGGTGTGTCATTTCTAGACAGTATACGTATTTATACTGCAGAGTCTAAGGAAGTTCAGTTTTTTTAATTAGACTTTCAATTAGAAATTCATTTAATATCTTCTACGAAAAAAATCAACTTACACGGACTTTGACAAAAACAAATCGCTTCTTTATAGTCTACGTACACTGTCTGGCGATTTTTCATGTACATTGCCTGCAGCAGACGTAATTTAATGCGATTGTTCTTATTTTTTTTTAAAGCATTTCATTTCGCTCTACCCTGTATGTAAGTGTGAAAAATATCAGAAATAATATTTTCTAAGAAAACCTCTTTTAAATGGCGCTATCAGGGGTCACGTGGTTTAGATTCATGCCCGCTCAGCGGTTAACCGGTCTGGTGCATGTTTATCAGTTTTTATTAGTTGTTTTCCACTAAAAATCTGCTATCAAAACATGTTTTGTTTACCTTTTACGGATGATTTTGAACGATTTCTTAGGTCAGTATATAATCTATATGAGACGTTATAACACCAGGTCAATCAATTTTGAACACCTTATTTTAAATCAAATTGAAATTTGTTTATTTCCCTTTTCTATAAATTTATAAACATTTTTAACAACAATTAGGACAATAAAATCAACCAATATTAATCATTCTTCGTGGCTTGGACAGTAGCGCACAAGTGTTTTTTTTTTGTGGCAGGAAATCTGAGTACCCGGGGAAAACCGAAGTGGTGACCTTGTACTTGTTCACGTCCAATCGGGGAAGCGAACACCAGCCGTTTGGTGAAAGACGAGTGCGCTAACCACTGCAAATCTGACTATACCCTAAAGATTCGAATTTTAATGTAACATTGCCATACTGAAAAGCGGTTGTCCAGGCGATGTTGTTCAGCAACGTAGGTAGTGGTCAGTGACTGGATAGGTGTCCACCCGCTCATTACACAATATTAAACACATGTACATAATATTTCATACTCAATGTTAAAGTCTTATATGATCATGTTAATACTGTAATCTTCATTGTTTAGGAATTCTTTAAAGGACATGTGGAGTGGTCGGATACTTCTCAAGAATATACAAATGTAAGTCATCATCATTTGGTTCAATATGTCTCATCAATGCACATGTCTTTAGATTTTTTTTTATTAATCTTTAGCCAATTGAAAAATAAAATATTATCTCAAATATTAATTAGATGATCAGGAATCAAATCTTCACTTGGTAAACGGCTCGCTAATGGTAAGTCAAAATCTTGGATATTTTCATATTTATGTTTCAAACTGAAAACATTTTGAAAAATAATTTATATACATATACATGTCAACACGCAAATTCTTCTATATCTTCATAAATGTGATTAAAGACCATGAAATAGGAATGTTCTTCCCGTAATTCTATGTCAGATTTATTTTTCAATGCCCTATTCGGTTATTGATTACCCAATTGAGCAACAGTAGTTACAATGATAAGCAAAATTTTCAAGAAATTTTCCTGGCCGATCAGTTAGACTCCGCATGAAGCGCCTGCATTGCCTTCAGCATTACAAAGGGGAATACTAACGAGTGACCTCACTGAACATGATCAACATCCTTTATACCAACTATAAGTGGTCATTTTGCTTTTTATGTAACTTTTCTTTTTCACTTACTCGTGGGCCAGTTTTTAATATTTTGTTTTTATTGGCACCCCACTTTTCAATCCTTATTGAACATTTATTTAGATCTCACAGTTCTTCACTATTCACTATTTATTTATATGACAATAACGATGCTATTTTCTAGTCCGCCGTCATTAATAAATTACCTATTCACAAAATTCATAGTTTCTTTTTGAGCAGCCAACACATTTTTTACTGTTAACTTTATTTTTTGTATTGCTAGAAAATGTGCAGGTGGATATTCACGCAGGCCATTGTGTTATATTACGGTGGCCAACACAATAATATCACGGTGACAAATAACCCAAGGCATCCGATGGGGACATTTCATAGCTGCCTCTGTCAACTGTTAGACATCACAAGGACAGAAATTAATGAATCTGAAAGACTTAAAGCGGTAAGAATATTGCGAATAGTATACTCTAAATCTAAATATGTGTACAATGTTGTGCAGAGGAGTGTGTGAGGAGTCAAAGTGGATATGAGATTGTTGAATGTTGTGGGTTGCAAAAACCTATTTGACTGCAAATTATGTAATAATATACACTAATTGACAGAAATATCGTTATTAATTTGACCTAAAATGCTTTAAAATAGGGCAACGACGACTAGGTTAGGGTCACAGAAACCGTGTTTAATTTTTTTATGAAATACCTTCGTAAAATATGCAAGCTCACACTTATTATGTATTTATCATACCTTGTTTACGTCTTGGAATACAATTTTTTGTATTTGTAAGCATTATGATCTAAACTACACAACAGTTTAGCAACACCAACAAAAAAATCAAAATACCCCATGAGATTCATATTATTTACAGCTGACAAAATAACAAAGTTATATCAAACATTAAAAGAGGGTGAGTTGGCTGGGTATAACAAAATCACAGGGCGATGCTTTTTTCTACTGGGTATGCTTAAGATGGGAGTGTCAAGTACAGGAACTATTGACAGTTTTAAAGCATTGTTGATCGATATACCTCTGTTGGACTACCAATGCCGCTCAATGTGGGGTTTCCCTAATTTATGATACATAGTAATATACTGACGACTAGGGACACTATTACGGTAAGTAATACGGGACACCACAGTCCATTGCTACCGCCTACCTTACCTACATACATAAACGTTATACCGTCATATCTGTCATGGTCAAAATCAATAATACGGTACATAGTCATAGTCATACCCTCATCATAAATCGGTCGCGGTTTATTTAGAGTACCCTCCGTTTTTTTGTGTTATATCTCCATAACATGAAAAATATATTCAAGTTAATCCTTAAATATTTACTAATGTTATCAGTTATCTAAAGAAACTTGTAACACGTATTTTTTGTTTGAGTCGTTTGGAAACGCAATGCTTATACGGTGTAAAACGGAAAAACAAACCAATCAGAGGTCATCTACACACGATATTTTTAAGGAACAGATATTTTATTGTCCACACGATATAAGTTGCCTAGTATGAGATCTAAAAACTCCCTGGTTGTCAGACTGTTTGTCTCCGTCCATGATATTGTAGACAATCCGATTTTGTCGTAATTAATATGTATTTCATTTGTTTTACAGAAAACCCTGAAGAGTCACACCGAGGATGAAGAGACGTGTGTAATGAAAATCGTTGGATCAGAACCAGCTGACAACGTGTCGTGTGCAGAAGAAACGGTTGAAATATGAAACGGCAGTCAGTGACAAGATAGTGACGTCCTACAATTGAAATGTGTGGACCTTAAATGTAGTTCAGTAGAGATGCTTCATTATAAAAGTTCGCTAATAACAGTCACTGTTTGAGGTCTGTTGAAATTGCCACAAGCTATACTCCGGCTTAAAACTTAAAAACTAGCACGAGTACTTGATTTCCACTACTGGTCGTGTTGTAGGGAAATACGAACGTTTGTTTCCCTATCACAAGGGCAATACAAAGTTTATTATGCCGACATAAAACAATAATACAAATATCAAAGATGATCAGGTTAACGCGCCGTTGTTGTCATCTACTTCAGCCGTCAGTCGGAACTCAGATGTGGCGACCCCGTACACAGTCTCGCATTAATATTCCTGCTTCCGTTATTGTCTTGACGATACAAAACGAGCACAAGCCATATCACAATTGACTCGCCACTCCAGACCCTGTGGTATCACGATTTTCTTGATAGATGTCTTTGTCGCCAATTAACTTTCTGACTGTTTTGGTTGTTAACAAGCTGTTGTCACCACATGAAGGATATGAACTTTTTTTTCCGTATAATTTCACACAATTCTGTTAAATATTACATGTATTTGTTGATTATTACATACGTTTGAAGCATATGGCCGAGAACCATTTTTGTATGAGTGTGAAGCAAAAAATGATGGTAATACCATACGCAACTGGCATTGGTCACGATAGTGTCATTTACTCGATTGATGGTATTTTGCTCGGATAATATGGCCAGGTTTTAAAACAATATTGGTAACCAAAAGTAATATGGGTTTGAAGTAGTGCATGTACTAAAAAATCTGCCTTCCTTTCAAATGCAAATAGTCATGTAGAATATTGAACTAGCTTACCCTGATCCTTGGTAAAAAGAAAACTATTCTGTCTCACCTATATAACAGCGTATCTGATTGGAATTTGTGAATTACATGACGGTAAAATAAAACATTTAGTCGTTTTCACGCGCTCAAGATTCCCTGGTCATATTGTTATTCGGAGCCTCTCTAAGATCGACTTTCGGTAAAAATGACACCCCAATTATCATATATTATCATATACTCGAATATATGAACCTTGGGGTTTCATTTTTACCGAAAGTCGATATAAACCCCTAAACATGTAGAATTACTCTGAACACCTAGTTAAGGTCCAAATATAGCTGTAACAAATTATCAGGTTCCTGTGGTCACGATCTCTTCGGTCGGAGACAAAATCCTTGTTAAGTGTACCAAAATCTGCAAAAGACCTATGGAATCCGGATTTTTGGAAATGTACCTGTATTTTTGTATAGTTTTCCTGCTAGACTTGAAGAGGTCCAGGTCGTTCCTGGGTTTTTTTATAAAGAAGATGCATCGGACGAACAAAATTTTGGACTGGTCAGCATTTTACCTATATCCAAATTATTTGAAAGATCCGTGTGTGATCAGCTGACATCATATTTCAGTTATATTTTTAATCCCTCCCTATCAGCCTTCCAGTCAGGATTTCGATGTCGGTCTACTCTGCCACGACTGGTCGAGGACTGGCGTAAGGCCCTGGACAACCATGCATATCAATGGATTTGTCCAAGGCTTTTGATTGTCTTCCTCACAGCCTACTGATCCGGAAGCTGGATGCCTATGGTCTGAGCAGTCGCTCTGTAGACCTGGTGTCCAGCTACCTGAGCAGCAGGATACAGCCGGTTAGACTAGGCCCCAAATGCAGCGACTGCTTGTAGGTGCTGAAGGGGTACAGCAAGGATCTATACTGGGTCCTCTACTTTTTAACATATTTGTAAATTACAAACATGTTTTATATTACGCTGATGACAATACTACTGTAAGTGATACAAACAGAGATCCTCAAGTTTTAAAATCAAATCTAGAAAAAAAGTACATATAATTGAATGGTTTGAATCAAATCATATGAGGGTTAATCCTGAAAATGTTCAAGCAATATGCTTGGGAAAGAGATCTGTTGATGTTTCAAAATATTTTAATATTGGAAATGAAAGCATTGAGCCTGGAGCAGTAGTTACACTCCTCGAAATACATTTTGATTCCATGTTAAATTTATAATTTCACATCTCTAAATTTTATTTTTTTTAAATCCTCACGACAACTAGCTGTTCTGAAGCGCTTAGGATTTTTTTTTTACGAGACAAGGTAGGAGTGTGATATACAACTCTTTTATTGTCTAAAATTTCAATTACTGCCCTCTAGTTTGGCATATAAACTGTACGGGGAGTATTAAGAAACTTGATACACGAGCAACCCCCGGCGACGACACTATCGTTATCACTATTCCTCGTCCTACTAGACATTTCTCGTTTTGAGGCAGACCTACCACGAAGCCAGAGACGGACACTGAGAGTAATAAAATCAGGGAACATCTCAAAACTGTTTTTCATTTCATCTGTATTCAGGATTTGTGTCCCCTGCTTGCGACAAAACACCAGAGAACGATCTTTTAGATTATGGTTTATATTGAAAACAAAGACTCGGTGCATGCTAGAGTTGATTGCAATAGTATAGAAATCCGAAAATTCACTCCCTGAAATGATCCCTAGAACAAGTATAAAATGATAAAATGATAGAACTGAGTCAAAAATAGCAGAAAACTGAATAAATTTCTACTTTTCTTCTGTTGTTATTTTTATCAGGAAAATAAACAAGAATATATGTCAATACAGAAAAACACTCCTTTTGTGGCTAATAGTGTAGCTTATCTAGTGTGAAAACAGATGACAGAATAATAAAGGTCGGAACATTCATAAACGTTACTTTGCCACGAAGGGATGCTAATAAACGTCCTTTTGTTCAACAACCTCTATACAAAAATGCAAAGGAGTGACGAAAATGTGTGAACAAGTACCTTCAGCTTAACGCTATTATCAAAAGACAACGTGTTAGCGTTAAACATTTCTTTCTAAATATGGAAATATCGTGTCATCAGAAGTTTGTGGATGGTAAATTTAATCTACAAATGTATATGTGATTCCTGTCACTCTGGTAAAATACAAACTTCTTCCAACTGATTATTTTGGCTCCGGATTTTTTTTTAACTCAATCGACGACAGAAACATACAAAAGACGTCCCGGATGAGATCCTTAACGGAGATATTGAAATATCACTTACGTACCAAGGTCACATACCTGCATTGACTATAACGACTGTGGTTACCGGTTACGTAATTTCTTACCTGTGTCTCCATATGATGTTACCTGTTCGCTTACCTGTAGTCACTTACACGTGCGTCTTCACCCTCTGACATGCCATATACGCTACGTTCCATATAAAATTATCTTTGAAATGACCCCTGTATTTGCTTGTCTGGGTCTCTGTCTCCACGCTCCGTGCTAGGTCTACCCCAAAATGAGAAAGGTCTACTTCATGTATATTACATGTGTACAGATTATGCTTTACATTCACAGAGGTAACACATCGTTCATTAATATGTGTGAAAAAACACATATTAATAACCAAAGTGTTATGCCTCTGGGGCCTCTGTTGGTAGGCGATTCCCAATCACCTGGGGTTTGAAACTTGGTTTTTGTTCTTTTTTTTCTCGGTGATATTATGATATTTTGTGCAAAATATTAATTATATTAATTATCTTACTTGCATGTGACACTTCAGTGCTTTTTCTGTAAGTGTAAACGATTGTCAGTGATAATGCACGCATCTATATAACTCATTACTTCTATTTCTTTATGTTATTGTTATTCTATATACTTGTATTGGTCCCAATAGCTCTCAAGAGCTACTGTTCCGTGTTGGTATGTATGCGACTTTAAATTAAGCTTCTTGTATCTAATGAACAGACTATTTATAGACTGCAACGCGCTTTCGCAGTTTAACTAGGGCGACAAATAAATGTTGTATAATATTCCTATTGTAATAAAAGAATACATTTCTAAACATGACTTCTAGTTTTCTTACACATCACATGCACATGTATATGTTATACATACAGCAAACACTTCATTCTGTACTATAGACAAGTACTAAGTGTACATAATTATATACATGTATACAGATTTGATTTTGTGCAAAGTAACTTTGACATTTATGTAAATATAAAAATGTGTACAATATTGATTACTTAAAAGTTTTACTAATAATGAGTCGTAATTTCCTTTGTAACATTCTCGAGCTAATGTGACGGATAAAAAGATCAACAGTTGAAACCAATAGATGATTAATCAGGTCGGCAGTATACACAACTAGAAAATGTCCGCAATTTGCCTTTTTATCCTAAATGAATATTCTCAGCAAAACTATATGGTTTTGATCTTGAATTACTTAATTCAGAGGCTTATATTTCAGTGTAATTTATGTCTCTGCTTCATTATGCTTTTTAGTAGTTTTAGATAAATAGACTGAAACACTGGATGATTTAACCTTTGTCCACTGTAGACCATAATGGACTCATCCAGATGAATGTATATGGTCTGCTCAAGTTACCTCACTAGGGGTAAAAACGGACTACTACAAAGCCTCGACATAGTTACATATAAATTATCTTCCCGTCAGCATTACATAGGTCTACATCGTGTAAAAACATTGGAATGTGTAAATAGACAGCACATCAAAATAGGGAAATTGATGTTGTTCTTCAGGCATGCTGATGTCTGATTTTAACTTTTGAATATCCGGAATACCGGACTTGTCGGGACCATATTTTAGTTTGAGCAATATATATAAACTTCCGGTTTATTGGCGCCAAATTTGTTCTAAAATGGGTGATAAAAGTGATTCAGGCTACGACCCGGCTTCGTTGCCGGATCTGTTACCGATGTATTATAGGAAACTGTTTCCATACGGACCCTACTTTCGCTGGCTGAATTATGGAGGAGGTAATCGTATTACATATGTGAATTGTACCGATCAGACTGATCGGACTAACAGCTGATCGCCCCCCCCCCGCACTTTATGCTTTTCTATTTATCTATCTATCGCTATCTGTTATACTCCAAAAAGTCAAAAATGGTTTTAATGCGAAGTATCAGGCAATCCCTCGCAACGCATGAAGATGAAGTGTGTGTTATAAAGTATCGATGACAACAAGATATAGGACAGTCTCACAAGTCGTGAAGTCGAAGACTTACTATGCAACCAGGTCCAGTACACTCTGCCGATTGAGCTATATAGCTATAAAGACCTATATAGCTATGTTCACCTATAAATTATAGCTGTATTGAGCTATATTTTCTAATACTTAAATTTTCATTAAATTAAAGCAAAGTCGCATAAAACAATAAGGTTTATGGTAATGTTGACTACAAAAAGCATATATAAATAGATGTTTATTTTCATTTTTCATAAATGTTAAATTTCCTTTTTTTTCATCATTTAAAAAAAAAAAAAAATGCTTATATTTAATGTCTTTCACCTTTGTGTTATCAACCTAATGATAAAATCTTCTTTTAATAACGACTTTCTTTCGTTTTTCCTTAAAAAGGAAAATCACATGAAAATAGCTCAAAAGACCTATTTCAGATAGGTCAATACAGCTAGTATAGGTCTTTACAGCTATATAGCTCAATCAGAGTGTACTGGACCTGACAACTACTGGAAGAACAGTGCGAATTTATATCTTGACAGCTACGACGATCTGGTATCCCTTCGCCCTTCCTCTTAATCCATATAGGTTATCTGTCAAAATTCTGGCGTCGAGGCAAGAGGAAATCCGGACTAAGACTAATTCTGGTGACGTTGTCCATTTTCATTGTTGCTTCCCTTAATTTACAGAGAAGGGTAACGGAAGAGATTACCAGGAACGAAAAGACCCCATCCTCGATATCCAGGGGTTACATTCACTTTTGCTCTCTACACCTATGAAATACGTCATAGCAAAATTGAAGGCTAGCTTTCTGATCGGTATCGGGTAAAATAACACCTGACCATTGAATCACCAGACTGAAGATTCTGCGAGATCCTTTTGATGTACACCAAAAGATCAATCTAGTCATCTTGTCTTGTCTAAAAGGTACTGCACACTGAGCCTTCAATTTTGCCATGACATATTCCCTGAGTGCATAGAGCGAAAGTGAGCGTAGCCCCCTGGATATTGAGGATGAAAAGACCCCGACATTGAAATCTCTTTAAACTGACACTTCATCTGACATTCTAACCCAACTGAACTACTGAGTAAATCACCAGAGGGAGATAACCCAGTCCTGTTTGGCCTCATTCCTTGAGTATTCAACCCCAGTTATGTACAACTTGACAAGGCCCTATATATATAACAGGAAAGATAAAAATGCAACTGAGCTACCTGGTCACCGACAATCGCCCCAGCCCAGTTCCACCACACTGATGTGCATTGAAATAGTTTCAATATGGTAGGCTAAAAATGAATTGAAATATGACTGTGTCCCTTTCTATAGAATTGAAAAAAAGGATTCTTTTAGGTATCTTTTTTTTTATCTGCATGTAACATGCTCACGACAGACAATTAGATATTAGAAGGCTACTTCAGATAGGTTGATGACAGTGATAAAAGATAGCAATTAACCCTTAAAGTGCTAAGTTAAAATAACATACGGTAACCAATCAGTGCTGAATTTATTAGGAAAATTTAATTTTCACTGCAGTTCAAATTTAGATACGACTTCATAAGTCACAATTTTAGTAAAAATATTGCAAAAATAATACTTGTGTTAATATTAAAACATATTAATACCAATGGAAATTGGTTATTTGATATGTTTGATTAAATTTGAATCAACACGATTAGCTGTTGACCATATAAAATACCATTTTATAGAATGTGCAACTATAGTTGTGACTAGCAGTGGTGGCCACAGACATACAGCGCAACTATACTGTTTTGTCAGGTGTTTTTTCAGTATATATATATATGTAACTTTGAGATCTATATCAGTTAGAAACATAAGTAAGTCACTAACACGGGCTAGTATAATAGCATGCTTGTATTTTGTTACTTGACCAGCCCAGGCAGTACACATGATAACTCCAGACATTGAGGTTGTGGACTTTAACATCCTAGCTCAGCCATAGCCTTATATAGTTACCATTACAACTAGTGATCAATCACGTAAAAAACAAACCTATTTGCACAACTATACAATATTGCCATCCAGTGATCCATTTACATTTTATTTTAATGAGTCTTTTTCAACTGTATTGCTAAAATTAATGAGTCCCACAATGTTAAATTCAGCTAATTCCAAAAATTCTGTGAGTACAGGACTCAGGACTCGCATATAGATTTATCACTGGCCATCACGTTGGAAAAAACAGATCATTTTGAACATATACATGCAATGTCCATCCATATTTCTTTGATAGGAAATTATAAATTTAACAGATATAGTTATTGCTAATGTTGTAGTGTTGTGAACAAATTGTAATTGTTGATTCTGTAAGAAGTTTATACAGGATAAATGATCAAAATACAACTTTAATTCTGTTCCTGTTTTGTTAGAACAAAAACAAGATATTTTATAATATAGTGTGAATGTTTTACCTCTTTTCAGCTCCAAAAAGTTACTTCACAAACCGAGAATTTTCGTTCACCTTAAAAGATGACGTGTACATCCGCTATCAGTCATTTTCTGACAAACAGGAGATGGAGAAGGAGATACAGAAGCGATGTCCTTACAAAATAGATATTGGTGCTGTATTTTCACACAGGGTAGGTATGAAGTAAGACAGATAAGTCCGTACTGAGTATTGGGTGTTCATTTAACAATTTCTAATATGATCTTTGAAAATTTTACCCAATGGCCTTCTACTAATTTTTAGACCATTTTACACTTACAAATAAATATTTAAGTTTTACTTATGATAATCCTAAAATATGTGATTTTATTGTAGCCCAAGGACCATAAGACGGTGAAGGCGGCAGCATTCCAGGCTCAGGAGAAAGAGCTTGTGTTTGATATTGACATGACAGACTATGATGATGTGCGCTCGTGTTGTTCGTGAGTATTAATAGACAAATAAAAGTTGAAAATCAATTGTTGATAATCCCTTTTCTAGTTCTGTTATTGGTG